TCTACCACTGAGCTACATCCCCAGCCATATATATATATATATATATATATATATATATATATATATATTTTTTTTTTTTTTTTTTTTTTTTTTTTTTTTATTCCTTCGACTTGTTAAAAAAAAAAAATTTTACCTTGGGCTGGGACTGTGGCTCAGCGGTAGAACGCTCCCCTAGCATGTGCGGGGCCCTGGGTTCGATCCTCAGCACCACATAAAAATAAATAAAATAAGAGTATTGTGTCCAATTGCAAATTTAAAAAAATAATTTTTTTAAATTTACCTAACATGTCTCTTGACTGCATCAAGAGGCCAAGTCTAGTGATTGACCTATTCATTTACATTTGTATAAGTACACTCTATGACTTACACAAACCTTTGCACAATAAAATTACCTGATGCATTTTTAGAACTCATCTCCATCATCTAGCAACACAAGACTGTATATTGAAATCTATATGTATTCCTATAAGGTTCTCTTTCTCTGAAGAACCCTAATATAATAGATATTTTAATAGTCAATAGATTTTTTAAAATATTCTTTTTTAAAATATTTTTTAGTTTTAGGTTGATAAGTATCTTTATTTTATTTTTTTAAAGAGAGAGAGAGAGAATTTTTTAATATTTATTTTTTAGTTTTCAGTGGACACAACATCTTTGTTTGTATGTGGTGCTGAGGATCGAACCCGGGCCACACGCATGCCAGGCAAGCGCACTACCGCTCGAGCCACATCCCCAGCCCCAGTATCTTTATTTTATATTTATGTGGTGCTGAGGATCAAACCCAAGGCCTATGCATACCAGGCAAGCACTCTACCACTGAGCCACAACCCCAACCCCTTAAGAATATTCTTATTGGAAGACTAGGAAGAAGGGAAGTTAAGAGAAAGGTTAAAGCTATTCACAGAATATAAAACAACAAAAGATAGAAAAGAAGGGCAAAAAAAAATTCAAGCATGAATCCATAAAGTGAAATATTTAAGTAAAAACAGTTTCAGAGATAAAGCAGAGAAAGGATAATACCAAACAAGATTCACAAAAACTTTTCAGGCCCAAAAAATAAGAATTTCTACATTAAAAGGGTCTCAGACAGTGAACTGAAAGAAAATCCATACCAATTTATATCTACATAAAATATCACAAATCGGAAAGGCATTCAATCTTCAAGAGCAACGTGGAAAGTTAAGACAGTGGAGAAATGCCTTAAAAATTGCAAGAAAATTCTCTCCAACATAGAATTTTATAACTACCTAAACTACCATTCAAGTATGTATAAAAATATTTTCAGAGACACAATATTCCTCAAAATTTTACTTTGCATGCACCCTTTCTCAGAGAGCTACTGGAGGATGCTATTTTACAAAAAGATATATACACGGAGGTAAACACCGGCTTTAGAAAATATGGAATGTAACTTGAGAAAGACAAGTAATAAGTAGGATAAAGAATTCAGAGAATAACCACACCAGATTAGAGCAAGAGGACCAAGCAGGTAAAGAAGTAAAAAAAAAAAAAAAAAAAAAAAAAA